TCCTCTTTTTCCCCCCCCCCCCCCTCTCTCTCTCTCTCTCCCCCCCCCTCTCTCTCTCTCTCGGGAACAAAAACCACCAGAACCACATCCCACTGGTTTCACTTACTCTGCCAATTGGCGAGAACCCGCTCTTGTCCAAAAACGTGTTGTCGCCGAAGTTGATGAACAGCTGCGGACCGAGACCGACAGACGATCGGAAATCACGTCCGAGGAGGGTTGGTATGGGGTAAAAAAGCAGAAGTCGTGAACCTGAATAGTGCCACGTTAGAGTGACCGGCATGATACGATTCTATTGGCAACACACTAACAAAAACACGTGGCTGTAGGTGCTTGCCACAGGTAGGAGAAAGTCTTCAAATTTTCGAATCTGAATATTGTAGTGCCACATTAGAGCTTCTACCGGCATGGTATAATTCAAACTGTAGGACACCAACAAAAACACGTGGCTGTACGTGTGTGCCGCAGCACCAGGAGAAAAGGCATCAAGTGACACCAACAAAAACACGTGGCTGTACGTGTGTGCCGCAGCACCAGGAGAAAAGGCATCAAGTGATCGTTTCTCCAACAACAAACAAAGGCTACCAAAAATGCGAAAAAAACAGCAGCACCGTGAAAGGTAGGCCTTCCGTCTAGTAAGTCAAGCCAACAACCACAGCAGCAGGCAGCATGTAGGGGCGCCCGCGAATCACTCCCCCCCCCCCCCCCCCTGGCGTGCTCCGTCTCGGCTTTGTAGGGACGCGAGGTCCATGTTCTAACGACTACGGCACGCACGACGATGAGTACCCCCCCCCCCCCGGTGTTCTGCCCTCGGGGTTGGGTTTTTCTCCCTTGGCAACGACGTTGTAAAACAAGCCAAGTCACTTCGTGAGCTCGGCAACCAGGTTACCGTTTTTTTTCTTACCTCTGTTTTTTTTTGCGGTAACCACGAATGGTGGTCGAGTAGATCATGTTGTGCGGGGTCGAGAAGCCTCACTCCGCGCAAGGGGGATGATCGCACCACGTTGTGTTAAAATGGTCAAGCATCCTCGAGGCAGTTACACAGTGCTTACCACTGTCTCTGGAAGTGAAAGCACCAGAAAATAAATTAAGTCATACGCAGCTGTCATTCGTATGCAAGGAAGTAAGCACAAGATGCCGAACACCCTTAGCAGGATGCAGCTCACCCTTCATGCGACTCGCCGAATACCTCACGGCGCTTCGCGCTTGGTGATGTGAGAGCCTGGTCCGGTGAGAACCCGGCGTGCTCCGTCCCGGATTTGTAGGGATGCGAGGTCAATGGTCTAACGACTACGGCATGCACGACTATGAGTACCCCCCCCCCCCCCCGCCCCCTCACCTGCGTGGTCCGCGAGTTCTTGCCCGAGGTCGCGAACACCACGGTGCCCCGCTTGTTGGACTGGGTGACGGGGTCGTCCTGCATGACCGCGCCCCTGTACTTGGCCTGCACGGCCGGGTCGCCGTTGATGCCGAACTGCGCCACGAACCCCTTGAGCACCCGGAAGAAACGGCAGTCCTCGAAGAAACCCGCCTTCGACAGGAGGATGAAGCGTGCCGCGCCGAGAGGAGCCCAGTCTGCGCCAAGGGCACCGAGTTACACAACGCAACGTTGTAGATCACGAAACATTGATCCCACTCGCTGCAAAGACTTCCACACATCCCCTTAGACTGCTGCTGTGGTATTATCACGAGTCGTCTGTCTGTGATTGAATGTGGTCGGCATAAAGAACAGCTACATATATGCATTGGCTGGTCGCTAGCGGTGGGGACTGTTCGGGTGCTCTTTCGCCTTCTGTTTACAGGAATTTGTTCGCCTTTTGAGAATATTTCATCTTCTCCGCAGCTGCTGTAACATTCTTTACGCCACGGTAGCACGTAGAACAGCGAAGAACACGTTGATCATGTATATCGCAAATTGAAAACAGATCCGGTCGTACCCCTTCAAATGAAATCAAAGAACAGAACACAGAGACGTGCAGAGAAGGCGCTGCTCCATAGAACCAACAGTTGCCGGTGTTCCGTGGGTGGGTGGGCACGCGCCCACGCACGCGCGCATCCTCTCCACTGGGGAAGTAGCCTAAACGTCTAAACCGCTGAGTAAAAGCATTCAACGTGAGAGGTGAGGTGCCGTTCTGGCTCCAATAACACCTGGTGCCGGTGCAGGTGCTGTGGCCATCTATCTGTCGCTCTCGTTCCATTCCTTTTCAACAAACACCTTGTGGTTCTCTACTGCTCTACGTACGTACGCTCTTGTCGAGTTAACGTCCTTCCACTGCTGCTGCTGCTGCTGCTGCTGCTGCTCGGGTCTTAGCTGTGTGCTCGTTGTGGGTTAAATACCTCCTTGGCTCTCACGCTTCGAGAGCCACAGACAAACGCTGTGGTAGCTAACAAGCACAAACGACCCATACCCCACCACAGCATCTGCTCGAACTCGTTCAACTGAACATGGAACCACGTTTCTGTATGAACATAGAAAGGCTAGGTACAGATTTGGACATCCTTCCCCAGAATCTCAACAAATTTCTCTGGGCTGCAAGGACTGTGTACGTACGTCAGCGTCAAACACCATATCAAGAATCAAGTACACACGTCAGCATCGTGCGTGAAAAGCTGCAGACACATGTCGTTTCCAGCAGTCGAGCCACGTCGTGGCGGTGTCAGAAGAGGTGCATGCAGACCGCGCAGATTTCCGAGCCTCAGGTTGGGACCGACGTTGGCATTGCGGCATGCGGGGTTTCAACCAAGAAAAATGCAGAAAATATTCAGACGACGCTTTCTTGATCAACCAATCAGCATGAGGCAAAGGCGACACGACACCATGGTTGGCCGGTTTTACATAAGATCATCAGGACACTGGTGGTGTGGTAGTTAGCTCTCTCGGTGTAGCGAGTCTCAGGTGTAGAGGCGCCGAGATGGTTGAGCTCTATGCGTGAGGGTTGGATGCCCTCAATAGATCTGCGCGTGCGCGAAAACAAACAAGATGTTCGCGGGGTGTTCTTGCAGCCAATTCCTACAGGAGGATCTTTATATCGAAGGAAAAGCTCACCGAGCTCCCAAAAATGGCGCCAACCCTTATGGAATTAGGCTCTCGATAAATGCATACAACGTATCTTTTTACTCTGTAGGCTTTTTTTCATGTTCTCGCATCCCTCCTCCACGGTGCCCTCATTGCCCCACTCCCGAGGAAGGCCTTGTTTTTTCTGAGACTTAGGGTCAAAGAGCCGCTGCGCCAAGATCAATCACCGTTGATGTAAGAAGAAAAAGAAAACGTACAACGCTTCCGTTTCGGTTCCTCGAGTCACTTCCTTGAGACGAAATTCAGGGCCTTTGAAGGAGGGTCTTCGCCCGCATGCTGATGCTGCAACGAAGCTACACACAGTTGTTGACGAAGAAGCTGGTGTTTCCTGTGTGTGCACGTAGACTGCAGTGAAGCTACAATACATGTGATGACGAAGAGGCTGGTGTTTCCTGTGTGTGCACGTAGGCCGCAATGAAGATACATCTGTTGACGAACAAGCTGGTCCCCACGCAGACTGCAACGAGGCTATGTTTGTGTTGACGGGGAAAGAGCTGGTGTTCGCTGCTGCTGTGCGCACGAACCACACACCTGGGCGCACTTCCACCACGAAAGAACCCGACTCCTCATCGGACAGCTGGACGTCGAACTTGACGTAGCTGGGCTTGCTCCCCAATTCTTCATCGGCCAGAGCGGGAGCCACCGCCACGTTCCTCGCGGTCTCCGCCACCACGGCAGCCACTCCGTCCGCGCTGTCGCTCCCCACGATAAACGGTGCTGTCACTACCAGGCCCGTGAGAGAGGCGGCTGCGCACGCCGCCTTCGCTATGAATCGCCCCCTTGGTTGTGTTCCTCCGTTCCCGCCTGCAGGGGGGGGGGGGCATGGACCTTCATGTCATATTGCAGCTACGGTCTTATGCTCGAAGATTTGAGTTGCTCCGCGATAACTGTGTGGTTATTGTGCATAGCAGCGGCGCAATGGGGGTTCAAAAACGATCATTGTTGTATTATTATAGCCTACATACCTCCGGAAAGTATTTGCAAAATCAAGGCATGCTCACACTCAACATCTCGATACCCTTATAGGTGACGTAATATACTACAGCAGCATATAACCTCCTGAACCAATGATGAAAGCTCGATTGCACCCCACGACGAAGAGGATGCATAAATGAAACGATACATTTTCGGAAAGCTCTCCATGACACAGCTCCAACGCCAACAGGACCGCAGCTCTTGCTCGTGTTTACAACTCGAGCTCTGAAAATCTGTCCAGGGAGTGTGATATCTTACGTCATCTAGCCACGGCGGTCCTGAATTGCGGCAATCTTTCTATGGGGGGCAACAGCTGTGGGAATGCACAAGACGCCAAGTTTACGTTGAAGACTGCATTTCTTTGGTTGTCTCCTACAGATTGTGGCGACAGTGGTTACGGTGCTGAGTGCCGGATGTGACACACAGCAAGCCTTGAAGGTAGCACATGTTTCCGCGTTCTCCGTGCATCTATGCTACTCACCTGACATGGTGGGTACTCTTGCGTTGTAGCCATCCACGACCACGAGACAAAGAGAAAGGCAAGCTAGTACTCGCATCGGCGCCATCATCGTGTTTTGGGTGTGGGCGCTCACAGCAGCAGCAGGCCAGGCAGGCTGGCGGGGGCCGATGCTACACCTAAGGGGCTCCGTGAAATGGAACGGGGGGAATACGTATCCAATCACGCAAGTCGAACTACCCCGCCCGCGCACCTTCCTGCTCTTAGCTAATCTGTAATGCACCTCGACCATATGCATTGCATCTTTACGGAATGTCTTTGCTGGCACTGCGCACAAGCCATCGGGGCGTGCGGCTGCACACTTTCGAGCCAGAGGACCGGGGGTACACCTCCACGCCGACTAAAATCGGAGGCCACTGTCTCGATCATGTGCGGAACGGGTTCACCGTGATACGGCAACTCAGGAACAAACACTCGGCGTCGGTGCGCTGCGGCGGCGGCGGCGGCGGCAGGAACGGGCAAGGCCAGCAGGCCAGCAGCAGAGACAGCGGCGGTGGAGAGCATGAGGCAGCAGGGATGGAAGGGAGGCCCGCGGCGGCGTTTTCGACGACCCTTGATACCAGCATGGGAAGGTTTGGTGGCCTCTCGGCCGGGTTGGTGCTGAGGCTCGGTCCCGCCGACTTCGTGCCGCACCACCACCGGCTGTACCCAACGCTCGCAGAGTTCCCGCCGGACAAGCTGGCACCGAGAAGGGACGCAAGCGATGGATTTTGCTGCCAGCAGCAGCAGCAGCAGCAGCAGCAGCAGCAGCAGCGGCAGGCTTATGATGATCCCAAATGGCACGCCGGCAAAAGTGATGAAGTTGACCCGCCTGCTGCTTTGACGATTGCGCCGCGCCACGGCGGCAACCGGAGAGCCAACCCGCCCGCAGCGGCGGCGGACGATGCGAGAGAAGAGATCAGAGGGGTGCCCTACCGCGACATGGCAACGACCGCCGCGACGGGGCACAGCGGCGCCCTCATGGCGATCCTGCTGTCCAGGCTCGCCGCCGTCAACCCCGGCGATGCGTACACGGGTGACACGCCCGCCGCCGCCGCTGCTGCTGCCGCCGGTGGTCTCGCTAGAGACAACAGCAGTGTTGGCCTTGGCGTGGCACAGCCGGGGTCGGCGACAGCCTTGATCGCGACCGACGAGGTGCTCCGCCGACCGCCTGCCGACAGCGCCGCTCGCGAGCACGGCGGCGGCGGCGGCGGCGGCGGCAGCAGCTGGGCGTGGAAGGCGCGGGTCGACTCCTTGCCGGTCTCCTCCAGGCTCAAGAGGTACGACTTCGTGCGCGAGCTGGGCAGTGGCAGCCACGGCACCCTTCTTCTCGTGCGGAAAAGGCCCCTCTCTGCTGCCGCCAGCAGTGGTAGCGGAGGCACTCTGGGCGCCAACAGCAGTCACGCCGGCGCCGGCCGGAGGAGAAGTAGAGGTGGGACCGGCGGTAGAGGTCTCACCCACGGTAGCATCGGCAGCAGCGGCGGTACGTGTAGCTTTCAACCGGGAGGAAACCTACGGGTTCTGAAGGAGAGCCATTTTCTGCCGGAGGCAGTCAACGAAGCGCGATTGCTGTTGCTTGCTGGCGGAGGAGGAGGAAGAGGAGGAGGAACCGCTTGTGCTACTGGCAGCGGTTTTGGCTATGAGCGACAGATGGCGGGTGGTGGTGGTGGTGCGGGAGGTCCCGAGATCTACGGCGGTAGTGTTGACACGGGTGACGACATCGTGGCGACCGCCACCGCAGTCAGGGACGGTGGAGCGATTGAAGGCCATCAACGGGGGGAGGTGGTGAAGGTGAGCATCGCTGTACGTAGTTGCTGCCGCCGTTGGCTGTATCTTGCGTCTGATTTCTTTGTGCGCCCTTTCGCTATCGGGTGAGGCCAGGTGCAAGAATCTTTGACGCGTTCTGACAACCGCCGTTGGCCGCGAAACGCAGCCTGGGCCGGCGAAAACCCGGCATATCACTCCGTCCCGGCGATAGAGGGATGATAAGCCTATATGGTCTGCCGATTACGACAAACGTTTACATGACTATGAGCATCCCCCCCCCCCCCCGTAAGAACCCGGCGAGCTCGGGCCCGGCTTTGTAGGGATTCGAGGTCAATGGTCTAACCACCACGGCTATGAGTTCACCCCCCTTTCCCCTCCTACCCCGCACCCGGTCCCGCCTTACGCAACCCCAAACGCGCACCGCCCCTACACCCCCTCAAAAATGAACAGCTGCACGACTTCTTCGTTGAGACCGTCGGCGACCGATCGCTGGCCTTCCTAGAGCTGGAGTACTGCGAGGGCGGGGACCTCGCGAGTCTCATCCTCGGGAGCCGAGCCGGGGGGGGTAGTACAGCAGGAACGGAAAACTCCGCTGCGACGGCCACGCCAACCGCGGCGGCAGCGCCAGCAGGCGGGGGGGCGCTAAGAGATTTTGCCTGTCGGTCCCGGGCGCAACCGCTGGAAGGGCTGGCCACGGCAGCGGAGCGGGAAGAGGGTACCGGCGGCGGCGGCGGCAACGCGGGAGACTTCTTAAGTGGCGGCAGAAGGAGTCTTGGTGCGGATGGCACGGCGGCGGTGGCGGTGGCGGCCGTGGGGCAAGATGCGAGGGCGCCGTTGTCTGGGCTCCCGGCCGCTCGGATAGGCAGGGTGGCGCTCGGGCTCTGCGAGGGCCTGCAGCGCCTCCACGAGGTGCGCGAAACGAATCACAACAGAAGACAAAAAAACAATATGTACACGCTTAAAAGCCCCGGCTGGATTTTGTCTTCGGGTATCTGTGGTCTGCCTCCGCGGCAGTGGAGAACCGCAGACAGTCGTGCTTATAGACCATGCGTCCTCTCTTGTGTTTCTGCCATTCGCAGGGATTGCGCCATTATTGTGTATTTGTCATCTTCATTTTCCCAGAGGTCTCCACAATATCGAGTGCTGGCAAAAGCACGTCCTGAACACTTGTTGGGTGCACAGCAATAGACACCGTCTTCGAGGTAACTTAATTGTCGGCGGGGTGTCTACCCCGTGCGTGAATCGAGAGGCCGTTGGGGGGGCTCAATAGAAGTGTGTATCGATCAAGTCGTGTACACAGGGGGTCCGCCTTTTTGCAGCTCAAATCGTGTACATGTGCGTAGGAAGTCCGCTTTTTGTGTTTGCTTAACTCGTGTACACACGGGGTCCCCAATTTATTTTGTCCGTGTCAGACCGATTCTTTCCACGCTTACAAGCCACCGGGTGTTGCTCCGGCAGATATGAGTGGGTGAGACGCGAAAGGAAGTGGGGGCGTTATTTGGATTTTCTTCGTGCTGCTCGCTCGCGATTCGTACAGGCCGATTCTCGCGACCAGTCGTGTCGTCTTGCAGTAGTACTTTCGTCGCGTTTTTTTTTTTGTTCGACGAGCGAGCGCGGTAACCTCCGTGAGGACCATCAAGGACCAAAAAGACGAAGTTCTTGGCTGCAGCCCCCTTCCGTCTGACACGATGAAGAAGATGCTGGCGTTTTTTCTCTTCGAATCGGAGCAGAAAAGATACCTCGTTTTGATCTACCACCACCCTGCCGTTTTCAGCAATCGGTTCCCTCTGCGTGGTTATGCCTCTCCGCCCCTTCCCCCCCCGTTGCCGTCTGACCCTCTGTCTGTCCTCTCTCTTTTTCTCTGTTTCCCTATCTGTCTGTGTCTGTCTGTGCTTGTCTGTCTTCCTCCGTATCTGCCTGTGTCTCTCGCTGTCTCTCTCTCCGTCTCTCTCGGCCTGTGTGCTTCCCTGTCTGCCTGCCCTCTGCCTGTTTCTCCCCCGCCCTTCCCCTTCCCTCTGCTCCCCGGCGCTCAGCGCGGCATCCTTCACCGAGATCTCAAGCCGGCCAACATCCTCCTCACCAAGAACGGGGCCGTCAGGGTCGCGGACCTCGGGGTGTCCACCCGCCTCGACCCGTCCCGTCCACTCACGGAAAACGCCGCGGGAACCATCCCGTTCATGGCCCCGGAGGTCCGCAAGTACCTCCTCGGGTCCAAGGTCGCGTACTCGGGTAGGGGAAAGGTTTACGTATCGACCGCATTGCAGTAACTAGCTGACCAACGAAAATACTACGCCAGTTCCAGTGCGGCTGAACAACGCGTGTGTGTGTGTGGGTACTGGCGCAAGGCCCGTCGCCCTAGTCTTCGTAAGAACAGCTATTTTTTACTCTTGCACATATAAACAACCAAGATTTGTTTGTTTTTCAGGCGGGTACAGTAGTAACGTGCTCCTCTTTTGTTTTTGTTCGGCACTCTTTTTTGGTATTATTATTTTTTTATGTTATTCGTATGGTTATCTTTATTTGTTTGTAGGTTATGTTTATTGTAATTTTATTTTTCTTGCTATTAATTTGCATCTAATTTCGCAGGCAAAGCGGACGTGTGGGCCGTCGGCGCCCTCGTGTACGCCATGGCGGTTGGGGACCCCGCCCCTGCCGAGCTAGCCACGGAGCCCCGCGAGCGGCTGGTTGCCGCCATAGGTCTCCGGACGGGCAGCGAGGCGCTCTCGCTCGCGGCGCACCGGGCCTTAGACCCCGACCCTTCCCGCAGGCCTTCCGTTCATCAGGTATGTTGATTTGTCTCTAGATGGGGGAAAATGCGGCACTTGGATGGGGGTGGATGCCTGGCGGCATGTCTCTTTTTTTTTAGGCTCTTGATGGTGTCGGGATGTTAGCGTGCAGGCATTGATGGCATCGCAAGAAGGGAGAGAAAGAGAGAGAGAGAGAGTTGTGTGTGCTGCGTTTTCAGCCATGTTGACAGCACAGGGCCCCGACCCGGGTCTCCCAGAAGTGTTTCACCCCCCCCCCCCCCCCCGGCTCCACCCACCAACCCAACCACCCCCCCAAGGACGACCCCCGAGCCA